GAAAAAATTAGCCGGGCATGGTGGCGCATGCCTGTAGTCCCAGCTACTCGGGAGGCTGAGGCAGGAGGATTGCTTGAGCCCAGGAGGTTTTGGTTGAGGCTGCTGTGGAGTTTGATGTTGCTGTGAGCTAGGCTGACGCCACAGCACTCACTTGAGCCTGGGCAACAAAGCGAGACTCTGTCTCAAACAAAAACAAAAAAATTAAGAATTTCAATACATGAGCCGAGGAGTTCGAGGTTGCAGCGAACTGTGATTGTGTCACTGCACTCCAGCCCAGGTGACAGAGGGAGACCCCTATCTCCTGGGGGAAAGTATTTCAATATGGCGACAGCAGTGTGGGCAACCAAGCACAGGGCCCCCGAATGCAAGGCCCTCTGTGACGGCACCAGCCCGTGAAGACGGCCCGGCCTCTTCCACCAATGCAGCTCTTCCCACCCTGGTTACGTGTCAGAATCACCCATGGAACTTGAGAAAGTACAAGTGCCCAGGCCCCTTTCTCCAGAGAGAGACTTCAAGTAGCAAGGAGCCTCCCAGGGGACTGCAGCAGGCAGGCCTGGTGGAGAACCACGGGGCTAGAGGTGCAGACGACCTTGGAAGACTGTGACAGACAGACAGACAGACACACGGAGCAGGCAGAGGTGGCCCTGATAAAGTCCTGATGAGACAGAGATGCCTGAGTAAGGAATACACCAGGGTCTCCAGTACCTGCGCCAGGTGTTCCACAGAAAAGCCACCTCCAACCTTTAGCGAGCCCACGCCACTGCCCAGAGAGCAGAGGACACTCACTGGCCCAGCACTTGCAGGACGCAACCAGCACGGCCCACTCCAGAGGGGTCGGCTTCCCAGAGTGCTTTGCAGAGCTGAAGCACGTGACTGGGTGGGCGGTGAGAAGCTTGCATGAGACTTTCCAGCAGTGTTGAGGGGGAGGGGGCACTCCCTTCTGTCCTGGTTGAAGACGCGGGGCGGGCTGGGTGTGTGGGAAAAAGCCAGCCGCGGTCCCTGCCAAACATTAAGGCCAAAGTGCTGATTCTTGGTTATTCTCCCCATAAAAGAAGTGACACAAAGATAAGCCGACTCCTGTTTTGTGAAGCTAGATTTTACCAGTAGGCCACGTGCCTGACATGGCCCATTTTATAGATGAGCAAACTGAGAACCAGATGCCATCCATCTGTAACTGGAGGAGGCAGGATTTTCCCACCTCCTTCTCCATTAGCTTGTAACACAGGGGGGCTCCTCAGAGCAGAAGGGTGGTTGCCAGGGGCTGGGGAGTCGGAGGGTACACAGTTTCAGTTAGGCATGAACAAGATCTGGGATCTAAGGCCCAGCATGGGTGGCGACGGTTGTTCATCTGTGGTGTTTATTTCACAAGGCTTATGGATAGCAAGTGATCACATTGAACACCGTCTTTGCCAGTTCAATATTTTAAAAAGGCAGCTTCCTTAGCATTGTTCCGCCACCAACCCAGCCCAGATCTGTTACTGGGCAATATTGTTTCATGTTTAGGAAGTTTCTTCCCCTTCATGCTTTTCCGCATTTGAAAGAGGGGCAGGGACTAGGTGTGGTGGGAGAGGCAGTGGTGGCCTCAGGCACGAGTTTATGGTGATGTCCCCAACTTCAGTAAATCAAGGTAAATACCACAATGCAATTTTTTTAAAAACTCAAAACTAATGCAAAAGAAACCCAGAATGAACAAAACATCAGCTCCAACTCCACACTTGCACGGCCCTGCCTGGCCCTATTCGCAGGCCAACTTCTGATAAAACTTTAAAGCCACAGACCCACAGGGCCATGGCTTGCCAATTTTAAGATACTGCATTAAAATAGTTGGTGACTGAGGTTTTTGATGCTCCCGTAAGTCTTGTGCCCGAGGCGAGGGCCTCCCCCGAGTCCCAGCTCAGGACGGCAGCAGCACCCAGAACCGAACCTGCACACACAGATCAAGTTTTTAGCACCGCGCCAGGCTCAGAGTTAGGACTTGAGCGTCCCAGTGTGTCACTGCGTCTGGATGACATCAGGAATCGGGGCCCAGGCTTTCTCATGGAAGTAGTTTAATACAGGGACAAATTAAAAAACCATGTTCCATAGTGTCCAGCAAGAAACTTAAGCAGAGAAGCAAAAACGTGCCCCCTTGATTTCTGGATTCTTTACCCATTTTATAGCTGATCTGAATAAAGGCCAAAAGGAGCCATTTTTTTCCTTAATGCCTGACCTGGAACACATCTGCAGCATAACCGGCCCCATGAACAAATTTCAATGACCCCCTATACGGTCTTCATAATCCTCTTCCTTAACTACTTGAACTTTTGAGTTATTGCCCAGAAATGATGGATCTCCTGCAAGACAAGATTCTGAAGGCCCCGGGGCAGACTTCCCAAGCCAGGACTCACCACCCCCCTCAACCTGGCCCAAGGCACGTAGCCCTTCCTTAAAAAGCTCAGATCCCCGTTACAGACTCAGCTCCTCCCATTCTCGAAACAAGGTTCATTTCTTCCTTGGCAATCGTTTTAATAACTGGATGCAACTGGACCTAGGCTGAAATCCCCTTGCAGTTTCAACACTACCAAGTTAACTCATACGTTCATCCCCAGAAATTTTTTGAGACAGGGTCTCACTGTCACCTAGGCTGGAGTGTAGTGGCATCGTCATAGCTCATTGCAGCCTCAGACTCCTGAGCAGCTGGGCCTGGAGGTGCACACCACCATGCCTGGAGAAGTCTCGGGTTCTTACTGCCTCTCCCTTGCCTTTTACTCATGACCCATGTACCCTGGTGCTTGTGTTTAGGGGTCAGCAAAGTGGCCTTCCAACCCATGTTTGTTTTTTTTAAATGAAGTTATTGGCACACAGCTAAATCCAGAGTTGCAATGGCAGAGTGAAGTTGGGCACAGCAGAAGGGAACAGAGCTGCCAGGGAGTGGGGCTGGCAGAGCTAACATTCACTATCTGGCCCTTCACCGAGAAAGTTTGCTGACTCCTGGGCCCAGGTGAAGTCAAACTGCAAACACACTCACTGGCCAGTCTCCCATTCCAGATGCAGACCGGCTCTGCAAATTGAGCTTGGCATAGAACCTGCCGTTCTGGTCTGCACCATGGCAGCAACCCCTTGCTATTATAAGGCTGTTTCTCACTTCAGTTTGGTGATTGCCTGTGTATTTTGGGTCTCATTCCAGCAGGTTTAGCCAGTTCACCCTCTACCTCCTGAATGATTTTAATCCCACCCACTGCCACCTTCTAATTTCCTTGCCAATAAAATAAGTTTAATATCAACCAAACCCCTACTCCTAGAAGTTTCCTGGTCCTAAATTTCCTTATCAGCCCAAATTTCTCTGAATCTTGAGTTCTCAATCTTAATTCTTTTCTTAAATTTAAGATTTTTTTAAAAAATTCTAACTGGGCCACCTCATTCTCTTGAACTATACTCTCAGCTTTGTGCAAATCCTGTTTACATCTCTGTCAGAAAGTTTGCTCTCTTTTAATGTGTCCCATAGTCACAACTGCTAATTCAGATCAAAACACTCTATAGCAGGGTTTGGCACACGACAGACCCTGGGCTGAGTCCAGCCTGCCACCTGTTTTCATAAAGTTTTTTTTTTTGTTGTTTTGTTTTGTTTGAGACAGAGTCTCACTCTGTTGCCCAGGCTAGATGAGTGCTGTGGCGTCAGCCTAGCTCACAGCAACCTCAAACTCCTGGGCTCAGGCGATCCTCCTGCCTCAGACTCCCGAGTAGCTGGGACTACAGGCATGTGCCACCATGCCCGGCTAATTTTTTTTCTATATATATTAGTTGGCCAATTAATTTCTTCTATATAGTAGAGACGGGTCTCGCTCTTGCTCAGGCTGGTTTCGAACTCCTGACCTCGAGCAATCCACCTGCCTCGGCCTCCCAGAGTGCTAGGATTACAGGCGTGAGCCAACGCGCCTGGCCTTCATAAAGTTTTATTGGCACACAGAGATGTTCTTTTTCTTGCGATCTGTGGTTGCTTTTGTGCTAAAACCAGAGCTGAGTAGTCGTGAGACACTTACGGCTTGCCAATGCCCGAAACATTTAATGTCTAGCCCAAAGTTTTTTGCTCACCTCTGCTCTATTGGGATCCAAGTTTGCTAGGAGATACCAGGTTGAGATCTAAGACCCCTGAAGTCCACGCAGCTGTTAACAAAAATGCTTTCTTTACAAAAATATCTTTCCTTTTTATCTGAAGAGCAATAACACCCGAAGTACAAGGGACGTTTATGTGATTTCGATCTATGGGTTCCCACTTAAAAGGTCAACAACCCTTCAGTTTCTAGAACAGAAACACAGATAAGACTCATGACAGACAGCAGAAAAGTAACAATAGAATCTGTACAATAGCACCAGCCTCCAGAACCCATACCTGTTCTGATCAGAAACAAGAGCTCCAAAGCAAAGCAGTGGATGGATTCTATCATGGGTTTCTGCAATCGTTTTAATCTTTTCTTTTCTTTTTCTTTTTGGAGACAGAGTCTCGCTTTGTTGCCCAGGCTAGAGTGAGTGCTGTGGCGTCAGCCTAGCTCACAGCAACCTCAAACTTGGGCTCAAGCGATCCTCCTGCCTCAGCCTCCCAGGTAGCTGGGACTACAGGCATGCCTAGCTAATTTTTTCTATATATATTAGTTGGCCAATTGATTTCTTTCTATTTATAGTAGAGATGGGGGTCTCTCTCTTGCTCAGGCTGGTTTCAAACTCCTGACCTCGAGCGATCCGCCCGCCTCGGCCTCCCAGAGAGCTAGGATTACAGGCATGAGCCACCGCGCCCAGCTAATCTTTTCTTCTTACAATAGAGATTCAGCAATATACTACCATCCACCTGATGTAAAGCTTAAATGAAGTTGGATTTGTCCAAACTGTCATTAACAAAATAAGCTATGTACTTCTATTTCATAAGTGACATATTCTCCTGTAGAGGGTCTATAAAAGTTTGTTTTTGGATTCTTTTTCCAAGAACAATGGATCTATTTAATGTTTTAAAAGCATAGATTTTTGGCTCGAGGGCACACAAGAATTTATATTTTTTAAAAAGGCAGTATTTGAAAAAAAAAAAAAAAAAGATGCCCAAGTAGAGCAAACAAAGCAACTTGGATAAGATACATCCACTCAGATTCCATTGCTTTCTAAGCGTCAGTTGAATACAGGGTCCATCTGCGGGAAGGGTGGATTTTCAGTTGTTGGTTGGTTCCAACATTAAAGGCTGTCTGTGATGAAAGAGAGGCTGGTCGGAGGCTGTCCCGCACATCATATTCCAGACCCAACCGCCCAGGGCTCCCTGGGCTTTTCTTCGTGAATGAAAATATACGGGATCTTGAAGTCCACAATTCGCAGTCACAGGCTGGGTTGGTGTTAGCTTGATCTTTGGCGCCACCTACAGGTCACACTGTGTATCTCGCTTAGCTGCAGCACTGACTCGCTGAGAAACCCCACGTGCCCAACTGATAATGAAGGTACCGGATGGGGTGGAGGATGGAGAACCCCCACCATCGCCTGTCTGCAGAGGAATGCAGAGACTGGAGCGTTCCTTTTACATCGTTCTATCAATGCCATGAGTCTGCCTTTATTGTAAGACAACAGATAAGAAAACCACAAATGCATGAGGCGAACACTCGTAACAACCACCCCAGATCCTCCGCGTATCCCTTCCTCACCTAGCCCATCCCGATACAGAGAAGTTTTCTGTGTCACCTGCCTGGTTTAATTCCATCCGGGATGGATGAGTTTTAAAGTTGGAATCCATCACGAAGCAGCTCTGCGCACAGGATGTAGAGCAGTGCTCAGCGGACCCAACTCCGAACCACCAAGTCGGTCTGCTCAGGTAATTCTTGGAGGGAAGACGGCAACGTGGAGGAGTTTCTCCACGGCGTAGCTCTGTCCTCACGCCACTGTCACCTCAGCCATGGCCCTGAGGCTCTGAAGCCGGAGCTGCCCTAAGTCTGGCTGCACGGCCTCGCCTTGGAGGCCGGGAAACGGCATTTGCCTGGAGTCCCCGAGAAGGGACGGTCCTCCCTGGCGGGGCTAGAGGTCCTGGCTGGGCTCCAGGGACGCCTCGAGCTGCCCCACGGAGACCAGGGCGCCCAGCTGCCCGGAGGCACTGCTTTCGGGTGGGAAGGTGACCAGGTCCGAGTTCTTGTTCTCACTCTGGTCGCTGTGCTGCTTCTTGTGGCACCTCAGGGAGTCATCCCTGACGAAGGAGGCACCACAGGTCTCGCAGCGGAAGGCCCGCTGGGTCACTATCTTGGCCACGTGCTGAGCGCCGCCCTCTCTGGGCCCTTCCTTGCCCCGCGGGGCCCGGTTCTCCGTCCTGGCCTCGTCCCTGTGCACCTTGTCGATGTGCTTGGCCAGGCTGCTGGGCCGCTTGGTGTCGAAGCTGCAGAAGTCGCACTTGAAGGGACGGTCCTGGCAGTGGACCCTGCTGTGCACGCGCAGGGCGGCCGCGCTGGAGCACGAGTAGCTGCACTCGGGGCACTTCTCGGGGTGGTCGGCCTGGTGCAGCCGGCTGTGCTCCAGGAGGTCGGCCCGGTCCCGGCCCTGGAAGGCGCAGTGCAGACACTTGAAGGTGTGCTTGATGCGGACATGAGACTTGAGGTTCGCCTTCATGGTGCAGCGGACGTCGCAGAACTCGCACTTGAAAGGCTTCTCCCCCGAGTGCACGATCATGTGCCTTTTCAGGTCCGAGCTGATTTTGAACTTGGCGCTACAGAGCCAGCACTGGAAGGGGGTGTCCCCTAGCAATGGAAGGTGTGTTTCCATTAGAGCAGGCAGGCAAAACATCCCCCCACCCCCACCAAACCCAAGCCAGCACACCTGGCCACGATGGGATGGTTGGGTCCTTTGAGTTCTAACTACTTGCGATGCCCTAATAATGACAACACGTACTGGGTGTATTAACTCCCTCAAATCCTCAGGATCTTGTGAGGGGGTGTTATTACCCCCATTTTGCAGATGGGGCAACTGAGGCGTAGAGAGGTCAAGTTAATTGACCTCGGTGAAACAGCAGGGATTTGAACCCAGCATTATGGCACCCAAGTCCACACTCTTGACATTTCAGTTTCAAATCTAAATTCTCATTTAACTTGTCTTCTCAGAATTGAACACAGAAGAGGGGAGATTTAAGTTACACACAACTGTTCCAAATCAAGCTAAGACTTAGGAACATCATGCTGATAGCGTTTAGTCTATATTGCGTCAGTTTATTGGGTTCTATTATTAAAGTTTTAGTTTTATAACTACAGACCGAGTGCACAAAATTAAAACATGAATACGGCAGCAGGAGCTGGGACGAGTAATGAAAAGCCACAGGCTCCCCTCTGGTTTAGAGTCCCATTCCCCGGAGGCATTGCCAAGGGCTTTCAGCTGTCATGGAGGCTGTTACTGTAAACTTCAGTAGCTGAATATAAGCAAAGTGAAGAATCTCATCCTACACGGATCCCGTCCCCAGTCTCCGCCTGTGTTGGGATGGTTGTGTCTTGCTCTTCCTCTATCGCTGCCTCTAAACTGGGCCACAGCCTCACATCTTAGTGCACCGGCGTGAGGGGCTGAGGATCCTCTCACTTGTTAGGAGTAGCTTTATTTTCACATTTAAGTTCAAAAAGTCATTTCCATTCTGTCTTGTGAATTCCCAACTTTGTTTTCGGATCAACTTCAGAATCAAACTACAAATAATTTAAATTGTGAATTGGAGTGTGACATTCAGCAGAGCCAAATACTACACCACGATTACAACCACTGCCCAATAGGGCCACTATCACATCTGGGCCAGTGGATAGTGTCACTACCAAAGGTTTTTTTTTGTTTTGCTTTTTTTTGTTTTTTTTGGAGACATGGTCTTGCTCTGTTGCCCAGGCTGGAGTGCAGTAGTGTGATCATAACTCACTGCAGCCTTGAACTCCTGGCCTTGAGTGATTCTCCTGCCTCAGTCCCCCAAGTAGCTGGGACTACAGGTACATGCCAACATGCCCAGCTAATTGGTCTCTTTTCTTACATGCTCCCTTTGGGTCACATTTTATAGCTTGCTTCTTGGACTACATTTCTTGAATAAAGAATCTCAGAATTTCAGAAGTCATTCAGTTGCTTAATTATGTAACCTTTTACATGGAATTTTAAAAATGGATGTTCTGAATTTTTGATTTACTTTTCTCTCTTCTGTACAAGTATCATCCTAATATTTCTTTTTGCTGCAATCCCAGTTAGCTATATTCAGATAGTGACACAAATATCTCATGCCAGATTTTTTCTCCCTTCATTAGAGTTTATTTTCAAATAACGTCCACTAACATGGTAGTTGGGAATAAATTCTTGAATCCTTTACTCAATTCTTTCTATTGCACTCATATTTGAGATAGTTTCACTGGGTATAGAATTCTCAGCTCAAAGTCACTTCCCAACTTGGAGGACACTGTTCCACTATTGTGGGAGCCAATACTAACCTGCCTTTCTGGGTACAGAGCCACTCTGCCAACTGCCTTTATCCTAATTGGCATCTTATAAGCCTTTTCATTCTCCTACCTAGCCCCTTAGAATTATGGAATTTCTTATTTGATTTTGTCCACTTCCATTTTCTTTCCTTCCTAGACCCGGTCAGAAACCAAAATTCCAGCTCCTTATTCTCAGTTCACCAACTCAATTTTCCCCCTAATCTCTGGGAAGTTTTATAGCTAGCAACCCTAGTTTTAATTCATACCTCTTTGTCCTCTCTCTTCATAGAGCCCTATTTAGATGTAACATCTGCCAGTGGGTGGACACCAATTAGAATGTAAAAAATCGTGTCTCCTACACAAGTACTTTGTTGCTTCAAGAATTTGTTATTTGTTAGACTTGGCTCATTTTATTTCACTCATTTCCTGCAAATAATTCATAATCCTCGGTTGACTTATATTTAGGAAGAGTAGACTGGTTTGACTAGACAGATGCCATGGGTTTCACCTGCTACTGGGGTGGTTGGCAGTTTTGCCAAGGGGCTTTGGCTTCTCCCCCAAGCTTTGTGGCCTTGGCTGTCTACATGCCAGCCCCAAGTCCAGAGCTCTCTGGGCACTCAGACATTGGCTGGGAAGGCTGGTTTTCAGCTCTGTGGCTGCTTCTAATTTGCCTGTTGGGACATAGCTTTCTGTATTCAATTTGAAACGTTAGCATACTCTTATCCGCTTGCCATCTTCCGTGAATTCACTGAAAATTCTCATGAGCCTCCTTTATGAATATCCCAATCTCCATTTTTCTGTGCCTTGATGGGGTTGGTCCTATCATTTCAGTGAGGTCCCACAAAGGGAAGTTTCTAGAACTAGAAGTCTGACTTACTATTACATTCAACTGCCTTTGCTACATTTCTGAAGCCATGCAGCATACAGATTAAACCACTGGATCCCCTAGTGTACAGGTCAGACTTATTTGAGACACATCCTTTGCTTCTTGCCTGCTGTGTTTGGTACCCATCCTCGGCTGGGTTCCATGTAGCCAAGTTATGACTGACAGATGGGTTTTATATTTTACTCAAAGCTTTTGTCCTGGCCAAAAAAAACAAAACAAAACAAAAAACCCCAAAAACAAAAATGCAAGCCTCACAATCATGGAAAACTCCAAATTCCATTATTTCTACCACACTGTCATTTAAGTTGCTTGCATTTTAAGTAAACAAAGGTTAAGAGACTGGAGAAAGCATCGGGTTCTGAGACTGCCAGGCGGGGACTTACCCGTGTGGGAGCGCAGGTGCACGGTGAGCTGGCTGGAGTTGCGGCTGGCGTAGGGGCAGAGCTGGCACTTGTACGGCCGCTCGTCAGAGTGAATCCGCAGGTGCTTCTTGAGGCTGCTGCTGTCCACGGCGGCGTAGTCACACAGGTGACACTTGTGTGGCTTCACGCTGGTGTGGCACCGCATGTGCATGGTCAGGTTGTCCTTCCGGCTGAAGCACTTGTCACAGAACTCACACTTGTGCGGTTTGTCTCCTTCAAACACATAAGGATTCAGGGTTTTAAGAGTTTCTCAATCAAGACTACTACAGAAACTTGACCAAGGTGACCTCCTGGGCATACGGGTCCTGCTTCCTCCTCCTGTCCAAATCCAGGGGTGGAAAGATATTAACGTCTAAGTCAGCACATGGAGAGACAGGGGCAGGTGCCATTCATCGATGGCTCAGCAACTGAAGACTCCCGAGGGACAGATTAAAGTCAGATGGACAAAATTATAGGCTAAACCCCGTTTTGGAAAATGGGATCGGATGTAGAAGTGTTCAAGATAAAGGGTGGCCGGTGCTGGGCTCTTAAGGTTTTCTGGGCACTGGCTGATGCATCACAGAGAATGTTCAGGTTAATTCCTTCTACCAAACAGCAAGCAGTTGCGGTATCTCCCTCAGCTGTCAGTAAATGAGGGTGCTGAGGTCAGAGAAAGAGCATAGGGCCTGACAGCTAGAAACCGTCTGGCCCCCAGAAGCCCCTGCCCGAGCATCTCCACCTAGCAGCGTGTCCCATCACCCGTCCTGCACCATATTCCAGTCGATTGTTGACTGTTCAGTAGAACTCTACCCCGATAAATTTAGAAGACTAAATAAGATGGATGGTGGTCCAGGAAGATGTAGAAGTACAAAATCTGAATCAAGAAATAGGAAACAGATTGATAATGCATGAATTATGTTAAGATCGACTCCTTCAGGTAAACTGTTTATGGCTTGGGCGTGTGACTTACTCCGGCTAATGAAATATGATAGAAAGTGACAGGCGTTGCTGTTAAGAGCCAGCGTGTGTGGTTTGTCACACTGGTTCCTCTTGCCCAAGATGCCCTGCAACGTTCCAAATCAGGAGTTTTTAATCTGGGGTCCGTGGATAAGATGTGAGGAGTCTAAGACCCGATACGGGAACTAACCGCGTTTTTAGTTTTACTACCTCCAGCTGCAACTTAGCATTGCCTTACGCGGCCAACCACACTGACGGCACCTAAGACCCTTTCGACAGACACAAGACAGGGTCGTGCTACGTCACACTTGCTGCAGTTCAAGCGTATGTTTGCCACTTAACTTCACAATTAGCATAGTCAACCACCAGATCCTGACATCAAGCGCGATGCTTCTCAGTGCTGCCCTGCATGCCAACCACCTGGAGGGTGGGAGGGTCTCAAATGCAGATCCTGATTCAGTTGGTCTGGGGTGGGCCTGGGATTCTGCATGTCTGCCAAGCTTCCAGGTGATGACATTTCTGGCCTTTGTACTACGCTTTGCGTAACAAGGGATTAATGTATGAAAACATCACACACTTAACATTTTGATAGTTATATAAAAATGCAGTTTTAAAAAAAAATATGTCTCATTACATCTAAAATAACATTCTTGGGGGGGGAGGTCCATAGACTCTCCAAAATTGCCAGAAGTTCACGGCTGATTAACAGGCCATGAACACCTTCATGTGGCTGTTCCAGACAGAACCAGGTGGGGGGGGGGTCCTGGAGAGGAGGCCACAAGGAGCCGAGCGTAACTGTGGGGGACACTGGTGTAAGCAGAGCTGTCTTCAGTTGTCACTGAGGCTGATGTTGCTAACTCAGCCTAATCTACACCCTCTGTGCTCCGAAGAAAAAAAATCACAAGCAGAAGATCCCAGGCAAGTTCTATCAAAGTTTAATATTTTTTTAAGTTAAAAAAAAAAAAAAAAAGATGAGGTCTCACTGTATCGCCCCCCCAGGCTGAAGTGCAGTGGTTATTCACAGGCACTATCACGCACACCAAAGTCTTGAAGCCCTGGCCTCAACTCCTCCCACTCCAGGTGTACGCCACTATGCCTGGTTCTATCAGCTTTTAAAGAAAAGTGTTGCCACAGTCAACTGTTTAGCAGCATAGAGATTTGAAAATGCCTCTAACTCATTTTGTAATAGATATACCTGATACCAGCGCCAAGTGAAGGAATACAAAGCAGGATTCAAAATACGAGCATGAAGTCAACCTCCTTTATGAGGCTGAATAGATGCTGCAGGACCATCTTAAAATGGTAAAACATTTTAAATTCAATGATCATCCTTAACAGCCTCCCACCAATAAAAAAAAAAACCTCAGAAGGTTAGGAATAAGAATAAACTTTGACATGGCAAGTGACCTTGATGAGTCCAGGGGTTCTAATCCTACCTGATAGTGTTACAAAAAAAAAAGAGCATTTTCCATTATAACGAGTAAGAAATAGCTGGTTTGCTTTCACTGCTACTCTTCAGTTTGAGCTGAAGCACCACAGCCAAGTCACCCGCGATCAAGTATAAAGACAGAAAGAAATCTCATTTCCATAGGTTAGTTTACCTGGGCGATCCATGAGAACCAACTTCAACTATCAGAATAAACGAGAGGACAGCAAGGGGCCTGGAGATCACATAAAACTCGTTTTTAGAAAGTTTTGTGCAACCTGTCAGCACTCTAAAGTTTGTCTCCCCTTCCACATCCCTGATCCGTCTTCTCCCTGAAATTAACCAAATTTTTCTCTGCATTGGGAGGTGGGGAAGGCAGGCGATGGTTAAATAACAGTGATATTAATACGTGGTATTCTGAGATTCATGATTTTAAGTGTGTACTTTTCAGCCAGCTTGATGAGGAAAATATAGTATTTGTGTCTAATTTTCACTTTGTTGCTTATGGACTTTTCATGTGACTAATGTTTTTTTTTTGAGACAGAGTCTCACTTTGTTGCCCAGGCTAGAGTGAGTGCGCAACCAATTTCCCCCTAATCTGCTGGGAAGTTTTAAGCTCAGCATCCCTAGTTTTAATTCATACCTCTTTGTGCTCTCCTCTTCATAGACCCGTATTAGATGTAACATCTGCCGTGGGTGGACACCAGTTAGAATGTAAAAATCTCTGTCTCCTACACAAGTACTTTGTTGCTTCAAGAATTGTTATTTGTTAGACTTGGCCTTTTTATTCACTCATTTCCTGCACAATATTCATAGACCTGGTTGACTTAATATTTAGAAGGAGTAGACTGGTTTGACTAAACAGATGCCACGGGTTTCACCTGCTACTGGGGTGGTTGGCAAGTTTGCCAAGGGCCCCTTTGGCTTCGTCCCCCCAAGCTTTGTGCCTTGGCTGTCTACATGGCCAGCCCAGAAGTCCAGAGCTCTCCCCTGGGCACTCAGACATTGGCTGGAAGGCTGGTTTTCGCTCTGTGGTGCTTCTATATTTGCCTGTTGGGAATGCTTTCTGTATTGCAGATTTGAAACGTTACACTATTCTTATTCCATTGCCATCTTCGCAATGATTCAGCTGAACTTTCATGAGCCTCCTTTATGAATTCCAATCTCCATTTTTCTGTGCCTTGATGGGGTGTCCTATCATTTAGTGAGGTCCACAAAGGAAGTTTTAGAACTAAAGTCTGACATCTAACTATTCACAGTCAACTGCCTTGCTACATTTCTGAAGCATGCAGCATATAGATTAAATCACTGGATCCTGTCGTCACAGGTCCAGACTTTTTGAGAACATCCTTTTGCTTCTTGCCCTGGCTGTTTTGTACCCATCTCGGCCTGGGTTCCATGTAGCCAAGTTACTGACTGACCAGATGGGTTTATTTTTACTCAAAGCTTTTGTCCTGGCCAACAAAAAAAAAAAACAAAACAAATGCAGCCTCAATCCATGGAAAACTCCAAATCATTATTTCTACCACACTGTATTTAAGTTGCTGCATTTTAGTAAACAAAGTTAAGAGACTGGAGAAAGCGATTCGGGTTCTGAGAGCTTGCCAGCGGGGACTTCCGCTGTGGGAGCGCAGGTGGCACGGTGGCTGGCTGGAGTTGCGGCTGGCGTAGGGGCGAGAGCTGCACTTACGGCGTGTCGCGGAGTGAATGCCGCAGGTGCCTTCTTGAGGCTGTGTGTCCACGGCGGCGGTAGTACACACGTGACACTGTGTGGATCACGCTGGTGTGGCACCGCATGTGCATGGTCCAGGTTTGTCCTTCCGGTGAGCAGCTTGTCACGAGGTGGGTACTCACACTTTGCGGTTTCTGTCTCTTCAAATCACATAAGGATTCAGGTTTTAAGGGTTTCTCGATCAAGACTACTCACAGAACCTTGACCGAACGGTGACCTGCTGCGGCATACGGGTCCTGCTTCCTCCTCTGTCCAAACCAGGGGTGGAAAGATATTAAACGTCCTAACGTCAGCACATTGAGAGACAGGGGGAGGTGCCATTCATACGATGGCTGCGGCCAACTGAAGACTCCGAGGGACAATTAAAGTCCAGATGGACAAAATTAATTTCTTGTTCTCACTCTGGTCGCTGTGCTGCTTCTTGTGGCACCTCAGGGAGTCATCCCTGACGAAGGAGGCACCACAGGTCTCGCAGCGGAAGGCCCGCTGGGTCACTATCTTGGCCACGTGCTGAGCGCCGCCCTCTCTGGGCCCTTCCTTGCCCCGCGGGGCCCGGTTCTCCGTCCTGGCCTCGTCCCTGTGCACCTTGTCGATGTGCTTGGCCAGGCTGCTGGGCCGCTTGGTGTCGAAGCTGCAGAAGTCGCACTTGAAGGGACGGTCCTGGCAGTGGACCCTGCTGTGCACGCGCAGGGCGGCCGCGCTGGAGCACGAGTAGCTGCACTCGGGGCACTTCTCGGGGTGGTCGGCCTGGTGCAGCCGGCTGTGCTCCAGGAGGTCGGCCCGGTCCCGGCCCTGGAAGGCGCAGTGCAGACACTTGAAGGTGTGCTTGATGCGGACATGAGACTTGAGGTTCGCCTTCATGGTGCAGCGGACGTCGCAGAACTCGCACTTGAAAGGCTTCTCCCCCGAGTGCACGATCATGTGCCTTTTCAGGTCCGAGCTGATTTTGAACTTGGCGCTACAGAGCCAGCACTGGAAGGGGGTGTCCCCTAGCAATGGAAGGTGTGTTTCCATTAGAGCAGGCAGGCAAAACATCCCCCCACCCCCACCAAACCCAAGCCAGCACACCTGGCCACGATGGGATGGTTGGGTCCTTTGAGTTCTAACTACTTGCGATGCCCTAATAATGACAACACGTACTGGGTGTATTAAACTCCCTCAAATCCTCAGGATCTTGTGAGGGGGTGTTATTACCCCCATTTTGCAGATGGGGCAACTGAGGCGTAGAGAGGTCAAGTTAATTGACCTCGGTGAAACAGCAGGGATTTGAACCCAGCATTATGGCACCCAAGTCCACACTCTTGACATTTCAGTTTCAAATCTAAATTCTCATTTAACTTGTCTTCTCAGAATTGAACACAGAAGAGGGGAGATTTAAGTTACACACAACTGTTCCAAATCAAGCTAAGACTTAGGAACATCATGCTGATAGCGTTTAGTCTATATTGCGTCAGTTTATTGGGTTCTATTATTAAAGTTTTAGTTTTATAACTACAGACCGAGTGCACAAAATTAAAACATGAATACGGCAGCAGGAGCTGGGACGAGTAATGAAAAGCCACAGGCTCCCCTCTGGTTTAGAGTCCCATTCCCCGGAGGCATTGCCAAGGGCTTTCAGCTGTCATGGAGGCTGTTACTGTAAACTTCAGTAGCTGAATATAAGCAAAGTGAAGAATCTCATCCTACACGGATCCCGTCCCCAGTCTCCGCCTGTGTTGGGATGGTTGTGTCTTGCTCTTCCTCTATCGCTGCCTCTAAACTGGGCCACAGCCTCACATCTTAGTGCACCGGCGTGAGGGGCTGAGGATCCTCTCACTTGTTAGGAGTAGCTTTATTTTCACATTTAAGTTCAAAAAGTCATTTCCATTCTGTCTTGTGAATTCCCAACTTTGTTTTCGGATCAACTTCAGAATCAAACTACAAATAATTTAAATTGTGAATTGGAGTGTGACATTCAGCAGAGCCAAATACTACACCATGATTACAACCACTGCCCAATAGGGCCACTATCACATCTGGGCCAGTGGATAGTGTCACTACCAAAGGTTTTTTTTTGTTTTGCTTTTTTTGGTTTTTTTTGGAGACATGGTCTTGCTCTGTTGCCCAGGCTGGAGTGCAATAGTGTGATCATAACTCACTGCAGCCTTGAACTCCTGGCCTTGAGTGATTCTCCTGCCTCAGTCCCCCCCAAGTAGCTGGGACTACAGGTACATGCCAACATGCCCAGCTTAATTGGTCTCTTTTCTTACATGCTCCCTTTGGGTCACATTTTATAGCTTGCTTCTTGGACTACATTTCTTGAATAAAGAATCTCAGAATTTCAGAAGTCATTCAGTTGCTTAATTATGTAACCTTTTACATGGAATTTTAAAAATGGATGTTCTGAATTTTTGATTTACTTTTCTCTCTTCTGTACAAGTATCATCCTAATATTTCTTTTTGCTGCAATCCCAGTTAGCTATATTCAGATAGTGACACAAATATCTCATGCCAGATTTTTTCTCCCTTCATTAGAGTTTATTTTCAAATAACGTCCACTAACATGGTAGTTGGGAATAAATTCTTGAATCCTTTACTCAATTCTTTCTATTGCACTCATATTTGAGATAGTTTCACTGGGTATAGAATTCTCAGCTCAAAGTCACTTCCCAACTTGGAGGACACTGTTCCACTATTGTGGGAGCCAATACTAACCTGCCTTTCTGGGTACAGAGCCACTCTGCCAACTGCCTTTATCCTAATTGGCATCTTATAAGCCTTTTCATTCTCCTACCTAGCCCCTTAGAATTATGGAATTTCTTATTTGATTTTGTCCACTTCCATTTTCTTTCCTTCCTAGACCCGGTCAGAAACCAAAATTCCAGCTCCTTATTCTCAGTTCACCAACTCAATTTATCCCCCTAATCTCTGGGAAGTTTTATAGCTAGCATCCCTAGTTTTAATTCATACCTCTTTGTCCTCTCTCTTCATAGAGCCCTATTTAGATGTAACATCTGCCAGTGGGTGGACACCAATTAGAATGTAAAAAATCGTGTCTCCTACACAAGTACTTTGTTGCTTCAAGAATTTGTTATTTGTTAGACTTGGCTCATTTTATTTCACTCATTTCCTGCAAATAATTCATAATCCTCGGTTGACTTATATTTAGGAAGAGTAGACTGGTTTGACTAGACAGATGCCATGGGTTTCACCTGCTACTGGGGTGGTTGGCAGTTTTGCCAAGGGGCTTTGGCTTCTCCCCCAAGCTTTGTGGCCTTGGCTGTCTACATGCCAGCCCCAAGTCCAGAGCTCTCTGGGCACTCAGACATTGGCTGGGAAGGCTGGTTTTCAGCTCTGTGGCTGCTTCTAATTTGCCTGTTGGGACATAGCTTTCTGTATTCAATTTGAAACGTTAGCATACTCTTATCCGCTTGCCATCTTCCGTGAATTCACTGAAAATTCTCATGAGCCTCCTTTATGAATATCCCAATCTCCATTTTTCTGTGCCTTGATGGGGTTGGTCCTATCATTTCAGTGAGGTCCCACAAAGGGAAGTTTCTAGAACTAGAAGTCTGACTTACTATTACATTCAACTGCCTTTGCTACATTTCTGAAGCCATGCAGCATACAGATTAAACCACTGGATCCCCTAGTGTACAGGTCAGACTTATTTGAGACACATCCTTTGCTTCTTGCCTGCTGTGTTTGGTACCCATCCTCGGCTGGGTTCCATGTAGCCAAGTTATGACTGACAGATGGGTTTTATATTTTACTCAAAGCTTTTGTCCTGGCCAAAAAAAACAAAACAAAACAAAAAACCCCAAAAACAAAAATGCAAGCCTCACAATCATGGAAAACTCCAAATTCCATTATTTCTACCACACTGTCATTTAAGTTGCTTGCATTTTAAGTAAACAAAGGTTAAGAGACTGGAGAAAGCATCGGGTTCTGAGACTGCCAGGCGGGGACTTACCCGTGTGGGAGCGCAGGTGCACGGTGAGCTGGCTGGAGTTGCGGCTGGCGTAGGGGCAGAGCTGGCACTTGTACGGCCGCTCGTCAGAGTGAATCCGCAGGTGCTTCTTGAGGCTGCTGCTGTCCACGGCGGCGTAGTCACACAGGTGACACTTGTGTGGCTTCACGCTGGTGTGGCACCGCATGTGCATGGTCAGGTTGTCCTTCCGGCTGAAGCACTTGTCACAGAACTCACACTTGTGCGGTTTGTCTCCTTCAAACACATAAGGATTCAGGGTTTTAAGAGTTTCTCAATCAAGACTACTACAGAAACTTGACCAAGGTGACCTCCTGGGCATACGGGTCCTGCTTCCTCCTCCTGTCCAAATCCAGGGGTGGAAAGATATTAACGTCTAAGTCAGCACATGGAGAGACAGGGGCAGGTGCCATTCATCGATGGCTCAGCAACTGAAGACTCCCGAGGGACAGATTAAAGTCAGATGGACAAAATTATAGGCTAAACCCCGTTTTGGAAAATGGGATCGGATGTAGAAGTGTTCAAGATAAAGGGTGGCCGGTGCTGGGCTCTTAAGGTTTTCTGGGCACTGGCTGATGCATCACAGAGAATGTTCAGGTTAATTCCTTCTACCAAACAGCAAGCAGTTGCGGTATCTCCCTCAGCTGTCAGTAAATGAGGGTGCTGAGGTCAGAGAAAGAGCATAGGGCCTGACAGCTAGAAACCGTCTGGCCCCCAGAAGCCCCTGCCCGAGCATCTCCACCTAGCAGCGTGTCCCATCACCCGTCCTGCACCATATTCCAGTCGATTGTTGACTGTTCAGTAGAACTCTACCCCGATAAATTTAGAAGACTAAATAAGATGGATGGTGGTCCAGGAAGATGTAGAAGTACAAAATCTGAATCAAGAAATAGGAAACAGATTGATAATGTATGAATTATGCTAAGATCGACTCCTTCAGGTAAACTGTTTATGGCTTGGGCGTGTGACTTACTCCGGCTAATGAAATATGATAGAAAGTGACAGGGGTTGCTGTTAAGAGCCAGCATGTGTGGTTTGTCACACTGGTTCCTCTTTGCCCAAGATGCCCTGCAACGTTCCAAATCAGGAGTTTTTAATCTGGGGTCCGTGGATAAGATGTGAGGAGTCTAAGACCCGATACGGGAACTAACCGCGTTTTTAGTTTTACTACCTCCAGCTGCAACTTAGCATTGCCTCCAGCTACGCACGCAGTGGCCAACCACACTGACGGCACCTAAGACCCTTTCGACAGACACAAGACAGGGTCGTGCTACGTCACACTTGCTGCAGTTCAAGCGTATGTTTGCCACTTAACTTCACAATTAGCATAGTCAACCACCAGATCCTGACATCAAGCGCGATGCTTCTCAGTGCTGCCCTGCATGCCAACCACCTGGAGGGTGGGAGGGTCTCAAATGCAGATCCTGATTCAGTTGGTCTGGGGTGGGCCTGGGATTCTGCATGTCTGCCAAGCTTCCAGGTGATGACATTTCTGGCCTTTGTACTACGCTTTGCGTAACAAGGGATTAATGTATGAAAACATCACACACTTAACATTTTGATAGTTATATAAAAATGCAGTTTTAAAAAAAAATATGTCTCATTACATCTAAAATAACATTCTTGGGGGGGGAGGTCCATAGACTCTCCAAAATTGCCAGAAGTTCACGGCTGATTAACAGGCCATGAACACCTTCATGTGGCTGTTCCAGACAGAACCAGGTGGGGGGGGGGTCCTGGAGAGGAGGCCACAAGGAGCCGAGGGTAACTGTGGGGGACACTGGTGTAAGCAGAGCTGTCTTCAGTTGTCACTGAGGCTGATGTTGCTAACTCAGCCTAATCTACACCCTCTGTGCTCTGAAGAAAAAAAGTCACAAGCAGAAGATCCCAGGCAAGTTCTATCAAAGTTTAATATTTTTTTAAGTTAAAAAAAAAAAAAAAAGATGAGGTCTCACTGTATCGCCCCCCAGGCTGAAGTGCAGTGGTTATTCACAGGCACTATCACGCACACCAAAGTCTTGAAGCCCTGGCCTCAAACTCCTCCCACTCCAGGTGTACGCCACTATGCCTGGTTCTATCAGCTTTTAAAGAAAAGTGTTGCCACAGTCAACTGTTTAGCAGCATAGAGACTTGAAAATGCCTCTAACTCATTTTGTAATAGATATACCTGATACCAGCGCCAAGTGAAGGAATACAAAGCAGGATTCAAAATACGAGCATGAAGTCAACCTCCTTTATGAGGCTGAATAAATGCTGCAGGACCATCTTAAAATGGTAAAACATTTTAAATTCAATGATCATCCTTAACAGCCTCCCACCAATAAAAAAAAAAAAACACCTCAGAAGGTTAGGAATAAGAATAAACTTTGACATGGCAAGTGACCTTGATGAGTCCAGGGGTTCTAATCCTACATGATAGTGTTACAAAAAAAAAAGAGCATTTTCCATTATAACGAGTAAGAAATAGCTGGTTTGCTTTCACTGCTACTCTTCAGTTTGAGCTGAAGCACCACAGCCAAGTCACCCGCGATCAAGTATAAAGACAGAAAGAAATCTCATTTCCATAGGTTAGTTTACCTGGGCGATCCATGAGAACCAACTTCAACTATCAGAATAAACGAGAGGACAGCAAGGGGCCTGGAGATCACATAAAACTCGTTTTTAGAAAGTTTTGTGCAACCTGTCAGCACTCTAAAGTTTGTCTCCCCTTCCACATCCCTGATCCGTCTTCTCCCTGAAATTAACCAAATTTTTCTCTGCATTGGGAGGTGGGGAAGGCAGGCGATGGTTAAATAACAGTGATATTAATACGTGGTATTCTGAGATTCATGATTTTAAGTGTGTACTTTTCAGCCAGCTTGATGAGGAAAATATAGTATTTGTGTCTAATTTTCACTTTGTTGCTTATGGACTTTTCATGTGACTAATGTTTTTTTTTTGAGACAGAGTCTCACTTTGTTGCCCAGGCTAGAGTGAGTGCCGTGGTGTCAGCCTAGCTCACAGCAACCTCAATCTCCTGGGCTCGAGCAATCCTCCTGCCTCAGCCTCCCGAGTAGCTGGGACTATAGGCATGCGCCACCATGCCCGGCTAATTTTCTGTATATATATATATATCTTTTAGTTGGTTGATTAATTTCTTTCTATTTTTGGTAGAGACGGGGTGTTGCTCAGGCTGGTCTCGAACTCCTGACCTCGAGTGATCTGTCCGCCTTGGCCCCCTAGAATGTTAGGATTACAGGCGTGAGCCACCACGCCCAGCCTATTATCTTTCTTAGTTGACTACATGTCCACGTCCTTTTTCCATTGCAGTGAGCTGTCTTTGATTTGTAGACTCTTTATGGATTCTGCATATTAATTCCATCCCATGCTACAAATTTCTCGTGGGACACTTGTTTTAACTTTTTAATGGTGTCATGTTATCCAAAGTTTTAACTTTGATTCAATGACATTTAACCGATATTCCTCCTTTGTGGTTTGCCTGTCTGCCTATACCAGCCACGTGTTTGTCCTATGTTTCCTAGGACGGTTACAGACTAAAGTTTAACTCACTGTATTTGGAATTTGTGAAGGGCGAGGTCAAGGACTGATCTTAGTCCGAATAGACGACAAAGAGATGTCTAATTTGTCCCAGCATCACATTCCTCCACCCATTCCCCCTGTTGACTTGCCATGCCACCTTGAGCAGGTGAGTTTACACGCGCACGGGTCTATTTCCACACTCCGTTTCTGCCAATTCCCATATCACACCCACTTACAGCTCTATGTTATTTTAGTTTCTAACAAAGCAAAAGGTCTCACTGCCTAAGACCTTAGCTACTTTTGTGCCTTCCCTTTCAGATGAATTTTATTATCCAGACAGCAGGTGGGATAGTATGGAAGTAGAGGTGGCAAAGGGAACTCATTCTGTCACTGCAAATCCAAGTATAATTTATTCTTCTTTACTGAAGTGATTAAAAACTTCAAAGAAGGCCGGGTACAGTGGCTCACGCCTATAATCCTAGCACTCTGGGAGGCCGAGGCGGGCAGATTGCTCGAGGTCAGGAGTTCAAAACCAGCCTGAGCAAGAGTGAGATCCTGTCTCTACTATTAATAGAAAGAAATTAATTGGCCAACTAATATATATATAGAAAAAATTAGCTGGGCATGGTGGCACATGCCTGTAGTCCCAGCTACTCGGGAGGCTGAGGCAGGAGGATTGCTTGAGCCCAGGAGTTTGAGGTTGCTGTGAGCTAGGCTGACGCCAGGGCACTCACTCTAGCCTGGGCAACAAAGTGAAACTCTGTCTCAAAAAAACCAAAAACAAAAACTTCAAGGAACACTATATACATTTAATGTATAAGATTAGGAATTTAAACTGTTTTTAGACCCTTTCTCCAGAAGTTATTCCTATTAACATTGCCATTCTCAGATTTTAATGGGAAACAGGAATAAAGCCATTTTTTTTATCCTGCTCTTCCTCATTCTACCCCTCACCTCATTTCTGTCGTGTTTGAGAATTAGCTTTTCCTCCTCCAGGACAAACTGCCATTTAAAGGTATTAAAAAGCGGCAACTTTAGGATAAAAGTAATAAGAACCAACCCAAGTTCAAGGCCCCGTTTTCCAAGGCTTCCTCTGTGACCGTAACCCAGCCCGATGCGTTCACTCTGCCCCCTTCCCCCAGATGAGCCCGCGGGCCTGCAGACCAGGCACACGGGAGCTCTGGTTCTCAGCTACTTCTGTAGGTGCCGCACTTCCCCCCCCCCCCCCCCCGCCTCCCCCGTATTTGTCAAACTCGGTTCTCCAAGTGCAGCTAGTGGCTGCCCGGGAGTCCCCGAAACTCTCCTGGTTGTGTCTGTGGTCAAAACCATTCTAAATGACACTAAAAAACGATTTGCCTTTGTCATTGCTGACACGTGCACTGACGCGGGGGCAGCGGTGGCAGAACCGCTGGGGTCTTCGCACGGGCCGGGTCGTGCTGACGACATCCAGGCTGTAGTGACAAGGTCTCAGAAGACACGCCTGCTGCCCAGTTCGGGGCTTCCCGGTACTCAGATTTTTTTTTTTAGTGAGATAGACGATATTAATGAAAGTGACTTTTTTGGGTGCGTGATGAGATATTTCAATGTTTGGAAGAATTTTTATCAGTAAACCAGTATTTTCCAAGTGACTAAGGCACAATGTGACAAAATTAAGCACGGGTAAGATTCATTCAAAGGTCAAATCACACCAATGGATTTAAGAGTTTGAAAAAAATTATTGATACGGTGGCAGATTCCACATAGCAGCTAATCTTTAAGAAGCTACCATTTGTTGCATTTTGGTGTGGTGTTAAATAAAAAACCCAATGATCTGAAAATGCTATCTAAATACCCCTCCATTTTCACTCACGGGTGAGGGGTCAGGTCTTCATGTGTGAACTGAAAACATAACACAATGGACTGAATATAGGAACAGGTATGAGAGCCCAGCTGCCCACTAAGCCAGGCCTAAGGATTTGCAAGTGTATATAAACAACACCATTTCTATGTTTTTGCTTTAGGAAACAGTACTACTTTTCATTAAAATGTTAATGTATCATGAGTTTACTGTTATTTTTAGATGATAAAGTTTAAATTTCAAATATAGCAACTATGATAGCACACAAACTCTTTGGGAAGATCTTTAACTTGTAAGTGTAGAAAATTACAAAATTGTCATTTCAGAACCACTATTCTACCTATCCAGGAAGGTAGTCCAGCTCAAGCCTTAAACGATCACCTGCTGCACATACCGCGTTTCCTCGAAAATAAGACAAGGTCTTATATTTATTTTTCTTCAAGAAGACATCCCAGGGCTTCTTTTCAGGGGATGTGTTGTACCGTACTTAAAAAAATAACAATCTACATTTATTCAAATATAGTTGTCTTCTTCTGGAACATCATCATAACTCTCCAAACCCCAAATTCCATCCTGAATTTCTTGCGACTCTATTTCCTTTAGAACCATTGGCCCCAATCTCTCATGTTGAGCAATAGAGCTCTCATTAAATGAGCAGATGAGAAGGGCTGCTGGTCTTCTTTACCGCTCCGAGACGAAATGCATGGGTTGTGCAGATGCACTGCGTAGCCACTCCCATCACTAGGTCCTATTTTCGGGGTAGGGCTTCTGTCGCGCAAATGCTTAGAAATCCTGCCAGGACTTATTTTATGGGGAGGTCTTATTTTCGGGGAAACACGGTACATCACCAACCCTGCCTCCCACATGTAACTGGGTCAGAGATACCATTTGGCCCTATGCATCAGTTCTCCCATTTTCCCTGGGTAATGGAAGCTTCTTTGTAGCTGGGCACCATGGGCCACACACAAGACTTCGTTTTCCCAGCCTTCACTTCCACAGCTATGGGTGGCCATGTGAATAGAAGCCATCTTTGGACAGGCTAATGAGCACTGTACCCTTGGGATGGCAGAGCAATGCAAGAGCCCAGGTCCCTGAAATTATAGGACTGCCATACCAGGCTGCATCACTTATACCTACACTGTCATAGGACAGAAACACTTTGGTTTTAAAGCCACCATTTCTTGGGTACCACTATTCTACTAGTCACAAGGGATGCTACTTCTGGGTCATGCCCGGAGGAAGAGATGCTGTGAACTCCCCAGGCCCCTCTCCTACTTCCTCCAAAGAGATCTGGAGAAAGAGCAATCACCTTGGACTCAGAAGTAGCCTGAGTTTACATCTACTAGGGGAGCAACTGGTCCACCCTGCGTCTGCCTCCCTGGTGCAAGGACAAGGCCTTGTCTTGTACTTCCTGCATGCCTAGCATGCTCCGCAATACTTCAAAAAATACAAACACACAAAAAACCCAAACATTAATCCAACCCCTGCCCATCTCTCTAGATCAATCTTGGCACTGTGGACATTCCAGGCTGTTAATTCTTGGTTGCCGGCTATCTTGACCACTGTAGGATTTTGGCAGCACCTCTGGCCTCCACCTACTGGTCGGCAGCAGCACAGCCCAAGTTGAGAACACCTGCTCAAGTTACCCTCCAGACAGAGTTACCCATTCTGAAGTTCCCCAAACTGGGCGTGTTGGCGGCACCCAACATCTTTCCTCAGTTGGCTCCTGCGATCCACATGCTCTGCCACTGTCATCTAGGTGGCCTTGTCTTTCAAGGCAAAGCTCAAACATTTCTTTACTAACAGGCCATTCATGATCCACCCTCCCCAGCAAAACTGCCCCTCCCTTCTCTTATTTCTACAGCACAACGCCTATCTCTGGCAGAGATGGCAACCAGTTGTCCAGAAAGTTCTGTCTTCTCGAGGGTAGGGCTTCAGAGTCCCAGCCGAGCACGTGGCTACCTTCCTCGAACCCATTCCCCAGCCTCCCTGCATGCTTAGCATGGCCATGACAAGTCCTGCTCATGTTCTCCCAGGTCACAAGGGATGCTGCTTCTGTGTAGTAGCCTAAAGGAGGGGTGCTGAGAGCTCCCCAGGCCCCCCTTCTGTTCCCTACTGGTTAAGACATTCGGGGAACTGGAACAGCTGCCTTGGGCCCAGAATTAGAAGTCACATGTTAAGGATGGCAAAACCATCTGACCATCTGCAGACTATTTGCTTCTGAAATTGTACTGGAGGAATAAACCTGCTTAAGCCACTGAGTTTGGTTTCCGTGCAAACAAACTAACATCCTTGCTCATGTAGACAAACAGAGGGTTTATATGATAGAGTAGGGCTTGGCAAAGTTTCACAAAGGTCCGGGTAAGTGTTTTGGGCTTTGTGTACCCCATATGGTCCCATGTAGCAGCTACTCAACTCTGCCACTGTAGTACCAGGTCAGCCTCCGACAACAGGTAAACAAAGGCACATGACAGCAGGCTGCAGTCGGCCCATGGACCATAGTTTGCAGACTCTAGATCAGGGTATAGGTCAGGGCATTCCTTTGCTTCCGCTTCTCTTATTTCTCTCCGCAGCTGGTGACCTAAAAAAGGGTACCTTTAAGCAGCAACCTTACTGCTCTTCTCTAAGGTTCCTGTGGCTACACAGGCCTCTCTGTAGCTCACCCTCTGGCAACCTCCATCATTTTTATCTCGTGCCACTTTTGCCCTCTCCCCCAAGCCCATCCCACTAGACTGAGTTTCATGGGGCAGAGGAGGCAGAGACTGTCTTGCTCTCATCACCCTATACCTAGTACTTAATTCATACACCTGCTTCCTTGTTTTCTTACTGAACCCTTGAGCAAGTGAACGCATACCTACCCGTGTGGATTCTTAGATGGCGGTCCAAATCTTTCATGCCATGAACGGTTTTGAAGTGGCAACCTAGAAGAGAAGACAAGACAGCTCTTCTTAAAACATGGCCTCAAGGTGGAAGCTACCATGAACCCGACGTTCAGGTGAGTCACACGCCGAGCTCTGGATGCTACAAGGACTCAGGACCCACAGGGAAGGTGTGTGTGCCAACGTGGATGCCCAGGTGCTGTGAACACGAGATTAACGTGAGGATTCAGTGAGGGAATTCACGCAGAGCTTGCAAAACAGGGCTTGGCACAGAGAGGCGGCTCAGTGTGTTGTTTGTTCTCTACCTGGATAGCAACAGTTGAATGTCCTCTCTCCAAGGGTGGCTGTCTGTTCCCTCGATTCTGAGGGAAGGGTGATGGCAGGGACCTTCTCGGTGTCGCTGTTTTCAGCAGGGAGGCCGGCTGCTCTTGGGACATCGTTATCTAGCTCTGATGCTGAAATTGAAGAATGACGTTTTAGTTTCTCAAATATAACCGCCATGGTAGGTCTTAGACTATAGATTTATTTCATCTCCTTTCACCAATTCTCGAAGAAGTTAAAAAAAAAAAAAAAAAGCCCCATAACATTCTAGTCTTGCAAAGTCTTCGTCCTCCAAGCACAACTTCCAGGAAATATAGGGGACAGAAAGACACGGTAACACAACAGGGAAACTACTGGCAAAATCCGGACTAAAAAACTTCACAACATTTGAATGCTTCTCAAACGACGTGAAGACAGGCTTTTCCAAACAAATTCTGATCCATCCCAGGCTAATACTTTCATAAAAAATAATAAACATCAATTAGGAGAAAAGTGAAACAATGCAAAAAAAGCCCAAAAGTTAAACAGAAAACTCAATGCCATGGCAATGTCAAATTGTTATTCCCCCCACCCACTCTCAATTTTTGATTTGTTTTGCCCACAGGCCGGCAAAAGGTCATAGACCACACATCACCGATCGCCAGGATAAAACACGGTTGTTTTAATAACTTGAAAGATGGAGGAGAAAACCAGAGACAGATTTGAGACAGGATCTGCAATATCGGGACCTTACCCAGCTCCTGATTTAAACACATCATAAAAACCATTTGGGACAGCGAGAAGCGTGCTTGTTCAAACCGGAAGTGGGATATAAGGGTTTTTTTTTTTTTTTGAGACAGAGTCTCGCTTGTTGCCCAGACTATAGTGAGTGCCGTGGCGTCAGCCTAGCTCACAGCAACCTCAAACTCCTGGGCTCAAGCAATCCTCCTGCCTCAGCCTCCCGAGTAGCTGGGACTACAGGCATGCGCCACCATGCCCGGCTAATTTTATATACATATATTAGTTGGCCAATTAATTTCTTTCTATTTATAGTAGAGATGGGGTCTTGCTCTTGCTCAGGCTGGTTTCAAACTCCTGACCTCGAGCTATCCGCCCGCCTCGGCCTCCCAGAGTGCTAGGATTATAGGTGTGAGCCACCACGCCCGGCCGATATAAGGGTTTTATATTTTTTTGTACAAAAATAAGACTTTTTAAAGAGTATGCTCATGGCTTAGGGATGATTGCTGAAATAGCAACAAGTTGTACAATGTTTTTCTTCACAATAACCCAGAGCAGGGGAATAGTTGGTATAAGGAGAAACAGGACTGGCCACATGCAGTTAGCTGCAGTTGGGCAATGGGCGAGAGTTCACTACGTCATTCCCTTTTAGGGGGGCTGAACCATGTGAAATTGTAGTTTCTGTTAGCCAAAATGGTCAAATTTCATATTTCAATCTAATACATAGGCTTCAAAATTTTGTTTGAAACAGAGTCTCACTGTTGCCCTGGGTAGAGTGCAAATGGTGTCATGGTAGCTTGCTGCAGCCTCAGATTCCCAGGCTCAAGTGATCCTTCTGCCTCAGCCTCCCAAGTAGCTGGGACTACAGGCATGTGCCATGACACCCAGCTAATTTCTTTTTTTTTTGAGACAGAGTCTCACTCTGTTGTCTGGGCTAGTGTGCCATGGCATCATCCTAGCTCACAGCAACCTCAAACTCCTGGGCTTAAGCAATCCTACTGCCTCAGCCTCCCAAGTAGCTGGGACTACAGGTATGCACCACTATGCCGGGCTTTTTCTCTACATATACATATATGTATTCTTTTTTTTACTTGGCCAGTTAATTTCTATTTTTTAGTAGAGACGGTCTCTCGCTCTTGCTTAGGCTGGTTTTGAACTCCTGACCTTGAGCGATCCACCTGCCTCGGCTTCCCAGAGTACTAGGATTACAGGTGTCAGCCACCACGCCCAGCCAATTTTTCTATTTTTTGTAGAGACAAGGTTTCACTCTTGCTTAGGCTGGTCTCCAACTCCTGAGCTCAAGCATCCTCCCGCCTCGGCCTCCCAGAGTGCTAGGATTATAGGCATGAGCCACCATGCTAGGCCGGCTTCAGAATTTCTATAGCAGAGACTAAGCACACCTAAAAGATTCTAAAGTACCTGACCCCCAATACTTAAATCCATGAGAAAAAAGGTGCTATTAATATCTAAAATCTCAGAGATACTGACTAGTTTATGAATCAGAGTCAAGGTCTAGGAATTTTTTGGCCCTAGATTATAAAGGGGTAGATTCTATCCTTGTTGAAATGTTTGTAGCAGGTAAAGAAATCTTACTGTGAGAAGTTGTGGAGCACATCGGTAAGAGCTTCAGTTCTAGGCAGAGGGTTTGCTCAGTTAATGTGCTGTGTGACTACTGCAAACTACTCAACCTTTCTGAGTTTATTCATCAGCGAGGGAGATAACTTATGTGCCTCAGTTGCAGTTAATCAAGATGAAGCAAATTCTCAGTGCAGTGCCCAGTCCGAGTTGAGCAAGTGCTCATAACTACATAGCTTCAGACGTCCCAGTTGAGTAGAGCTGTGAATGTCACACCCAAGTAGTCTCAGTGCTTAAAACCCCTTAACGTGATCTAGTCCAATGTCTTTCAACTGGGAGCCATCCTGCTCTCAGGACATCTGGCAATGCCTAGGGACATTTGACTGTCACGGTCTTATTTGCATACATGGGTGTGATGGTGGAAACTGGTGTGTAGAGGCCAGAGATGCTACTAAACATGCTATGGTGTATAGGATAGCTCCCATAAGAACGAAGTATACGGCCCCAAATGTCTCAGTGCCAGGGCTGAGAAAGCTTTCACCAGTCCTATTCCCAGTGATCCCCCTCCTAACAATCCTGACATCACCTATGTCCCAATCACCTAAGTCAGGGGTTAGGTAGTTTCTCAGGCTCACTGGAGACTTGGAGTGGAGGTGGGTAGATCCCAGGGACCTGCATCTTTAAAGCACTTGCTGGGTGATTGTTACATGACTCTAAATCCTTGATACTCAAAGGATGGTCCCTAGGGCGCCAGCATCACCTGGGAGCTTGTTAGAAATGCAGAGTCTCGGGCATCACCCCAGACCTGCAGAAGCAGTCCGCGCTTTCAACAAGACCCCCAGGTGACTTCTGCGCACGTTAAGATTGGAGAAGCGCAACCCACAGCCAGTGGTTCTCAAACATGAATGTGCACCAGAACTGGCTAGATGGCTTATTAAAAAAGCAAGCAGTCTGGGTGTGCCTCTAGAGTTCCTGATTCAGTAGGTCTAGGGTAGAGCCAGCGACTTTTCACTCCTAATGAGTTCTCAGTTGGTGCTGCTGCTGCTGCTCCGTGCCCAAGGAAGAAACTGGCCCAGGGGATTGCCTGAGGTCGCAGGGCTGGACACGTTCAGCTGGTTAGAACCCACACTTGCCAGAACTGCAGCCCGCTGCCATGCCCCGAGGGGCAAGACACAAAGCCTTATACCACCTCCAATTCGCACAGTAAGACAGAAAACAAACTCCAGGGTTTTTAACTCCACAGAAGCCAAGCAAGACCGGTGTCCAAATGAGGTTGTATAAATAACAGTGGTTTAAGGAACCAAAGGGGAAGCCAGGTGCTAAGTTTCAAATTTCAGTTCCACCATGTATCAGCTGTGCGTCTCGGGTAAGTTATAACTGCTGTTCCTCAGTTTCCACATCTGTAAGAAATGGGCATTATGGCCTCTTCCTCATAGGCTAAGATGAGGTTCTTCAGTACATGTCAAAGATATGGTCAAAGACTGACACAAGAGGTTCAGTGTTATTAGTGTCATCCACTGATGTACACACAGAGCCACCAGATTCTCACGAGAAGGGAAATGTTTTCGATGCAAACAGGCAAAAGGGAGACTGGTGGGTTAAAGCTGTCAGAATGGTACCCAACACTGAAGACGGCCCAGGAAGAGCCTCGGATGGGCAGGTGAGAGGGGCCTCACATCTTCAAACAACCCGGAAGCCAAGAAAGGTCTGAAGGCCACACTCGGAGAAAGGTACAAGCCGGGGGAGAGACCCTCTGAGTGTGCAATGGGGGTGGGCCCCATCTGCCCGTCAGAAACTCGTTCAGGACACTGAGCATCTTAACTCCTTGAGAAAGGGCTGGGGTTTCCCAGGGAAGGTTGTCTCCCTGCTGGTAATTTCACTGCTGATGGGAAGTCCACGGATTAACCTTTTTCATTATGTTTTCCTCCAACTGCTTGAATTGGAAAAGCCACTTGCAAATTAAGAGGGGCCCAACCTTAGAGGTGGTTCCTTTCTCGGTATCTAAGACGCTAGGATAAGACATCGGTCGGTCGGAAGACTGCTTTTCCTCCGAAGCAGCGCCTGGGGTTGAAGCACAGTGCTGGGCGGGCATGGTGTACGATCCGCTCCCACAGGGAGGCGCACCCCAGAAGCCAACGCCCCGCCTGTACCCCGCGACACTGGGTACGGTTCCAGAAAGCGCTGTCATCAGGGATAAGTAGCTTAGCATGCTGACTTTGAACTCCAGCCCTTGCTTATTCATTCAACATTTGTTCCCTAAATGCCTTCCCCAAATAATTCAGCAGCCCTACTACCCCCTACCCCTCACCCCGAGGGTCGCACACCTCCACGCCGCCCGTCCCCATTCTAGGCCGCGGGCACAGCGGGGCGTATGGCACTTCGGTTATGGCAGTTCCATCTGAACGGGCTGTATTTCTGAATACAGACTATTAGTTTCGGAGAACCTTCATTAAACTACGCCCTTGCGCCGCCTCCTCGGGAAGGCGTGATCAAAGCCCACCCGGCGGTCCTGGAAGCTGGCTCGCAAGAGACTCAGACGCCCTCCTTCGCCCCCCCCAGAAGGTGTGAGCCTCCTCGGAGAGGGGACCCCACGTTACCCCTCTCCCTTTCCGTGCCGGGAAAACTCGGGGGAGGAGGAGGAAGTCCAGTTAAAACCCCTCTCCGCACCCCCGTAAGGAGAAGGTATCAGCTAACCGCCGGGGTGGGGGAGGGCAGGGGAAGAGAAAGCAGGAACCTACCGGGTCTCAATCACCGCAAGATAAGGAGAAGCGACTCAGAAATGCCGATCCCCGCCCCAGCCCCGCCGCTCCGCCGGGTGTGCGCCCGAGGGCGACGGAGGAAT